GTTTCACCATGTTGACCAGGATGGTCTCGATCTCTTGACCTCGTGATCCACCCGCCTCGGCCTCCCAAAGTGCTGGGATTACAGGCTTGAGCCACCGCGCCCGGCCTGTGTTTCAGTTTTTAACAAAAAAAAAATTTAGGTAAAATATAAAAAAATTTAGCCGGCACGGTGGCTCACGCCTGTAATCCCAGCACTTTGGGAGGCCAAGGCAGGTGGATTGCTTGAGGTCAGAAGTTCGAGACCAGCCTGGCCAACATGGTGAAACCCCATCTCTATTAAAAAAAAAAAGAAATATATATATATATGTATATACACACACACACACACATAAAAAAATTTTAAAATAGCCAGGCGCAGTGGCTCACACCTGTAATCCCAGCACTTTAGGAGGCTGAGGGGGGTGTATCACCTGAGGTCAGGAGTTTGAGACCAGCCTGACCAACATGAAGAAAAACTGTCTCTACTAAAAATACAAATTTAGCCTGGCGTGGCAGTGCATGTAATCCCAGCTACTCGGGAGGCTGAGACAGGAGAATCGCTTGAGGTGGAGGTTGTGGTGAGCTGAGATGGCGCCATTGCATTCCAGCCTGGGCAACAAGAGCAAAACTCTGTCTCAAAAAACATATGTATATATTTTTAAATAGAAAAAAGCTTATAGAATAAGAGAGAAAGAAAGAAAATTGCTGGGCATGGTGACTCACACCTGTAATCCAGCAGATTGCTTGAGCCTATGTGTTTGAGACCAGCATGGGCAACGTGGTAAAACCCGTCTCTACAAAAAATACAAAAATTATCCAGGCGTGGTGGCATGTGCCTGTGGTTTCAGGTACTCAAGAGGCTGAGGTGAAGGGATCACTTGAGCCTGGGAAGTTAAGGTTACAGTAAGGTATGAAGTAAGCCGAGATTGTGACACTTTGGGCGACAGAGTGAGCTGTCTAAAAAAAGAAAAGGAAAAGGAAAAGAAAATATTTTTGTTCAGCTGTACAATGTGTGTTTTAAGATAAGCGTTTTTACAAAAGTCAAAAAATTAAAGTCCTCACTTCAGCAGCACGTATACTAAAATTGAAGCAATACAGAGAAAATTAGCATGGATCCTATGCAAGGATGACACACAAATTCATGAAGCATTCCATATTTTTCTAAATGCCCATCAGCGGTAGACTAGATAAAGAAAATGTGGTACGTATACACCATGGAATACTATGCAGCCATAAAAAGGAATAAGATCATGCCCTTTGCAGGGGCATGGATAATATTGGAAGCCATTATCCTCAGCAAACGAATCCAGGAACAGAAAAGCAAACACTGCATGTTCTCACTTACAAGTGGGAGCTGAATGATGAGAACACATGGGCATATGGAGCAGGGAACAACACACACTGGGGCCTGTCGGGGGCTGGTGGAGGGAGGGAGAGCATCAGGAAGAATAGCTAGTGGATGCTGGGCTTAATACCTAGGTGATAGGATGATCTGTGCAGCAAACCACCATGGCACGCATTTACCTGTGTAGCAAACCTGCACATCCTGCACCTATACCCCTGAACTTACAATTAAGTCGAAGAAGAAAAAAAAAGTTGAAACAGTTGGTTACAGTAAGCTAAAGTTAATTTGTTACTGAAGAAAGAAAAATATGTTTTTTGGGACATGGTCTGTCCCTGCTGCCTATGCTGGCACAGTCGTTGCTCACTGCACCCTCAAACTCCTGGGCTCAAGCAGTCTTCCCACTTCAGACTCCCACCTCAGCCTCCCGAGTTGCTGAGCACAGTGAGCTATTATTTTTTTTTAATTTTTTGTAGTGACAGCGTCTTGCTATGTTTCCCAGGCTGGTCTTGAACTCCTGGTCTCAACTGATCCTCCCACCTGGATCTCCCAAAGTGCTGGGATTTACAGATGTGAATCACTGCCGCCAGCCTGAAAGAAAAATTTATTTTATTTTTATTTTTTATTGAGTGTGTGGTTTTTGTTTGTTTGTTTTTGAGATAGGGTCTCACTTTGTTGCCCAGGCTGGAGTGCAGTGGTGTGATCACAGCTCGCTGCAGCCTCAACCTCCCAGGCTTAATCCTCCCACCTCAGCCTCCTGGGTAGCTGGGACTACAGGCATGCACCATCAGGCCTGACTAATTTTGGTATTTTTTGTAGAGACAGGGTTTTGCTATGTTGTCCACACTGATCTCAAACTCATGGGCCCAAGCAGTCCTCCTGCCTCAGCCTCCTAAAGTGCAAGGATTACATAGTAAGCCACCACACGCAGTCTAAGAAAAAAATTTGAAATAAATTTAGTGTAGCTTAAGTGTACCGTATTTATAAAGTCCATGGTAGAGTACAGCAATGTCCTAGGCCTTCACACTCACTCACTGCTCCCTTGATGACTCACCCAGAGCAACCTGCAGTCCTGCATAGTGAGTGCCCTGCATCTTTTACGTGTTTGTGTGTGTGTGTGTGTGTGTGTGTGTGTGTGTGTGTGTGTGTTTGAGATGATGAAGTCTCACTCTGTTCCAGGCTGGAGTGCAATGGTGTGATCTTGGCTCACTGCAACCTCTGCCTCCGGGGTTCAAGCGATTCTCCTGCCTCAGCCTTCCGAGTAGATGGGATTACAGGCACCTGTCATCATGCCCAGCTAATTTTTGTATTTTTGTAGCGACGGGCTTTACCATGTTGGCTAGGTTGGTTTTGAACTCCTGACCTCAGGTGATCCACCTGCCTTGGCCTCCCAGAGTGCTGGGGTTACAGGCATGAGCTACCATGCCTGACTTCCTACCACTGTATTTTTACAGTACCTTTTCTATGTTTATATATATATATATATTTTTTTTTTTTTTTTTTTTTTTTTGAGGAGTCTTGCTCTGTCGCCTAGGCTGGAGTGCAGTGGTACGACCTCAGCTCACTGCAACCTCTGTCTCCTGGGTTCAAGCGATTCTCCTGCTTCAGCCTCCCAAGTAGCTGGGACTATAGGCGTGCACCATCATGCTCAGTTAATTTTTTTTTTTTTGTATTTTTAGTAGAGATGGGGTTTCATCATCTTATCCAGGATGGCCTTGATCTCCTGACCTTGTGAACGGCCTGCCTCGGCCTCCCAAAGTTCTGGGATTACAGGCGTGAGCCAGATACACAAATACTTACCATTGTGTTACAATTGCCTACAGTATTCAGTATAGTAACATGCTACACAAGTTTGTAGTTTAGGAGCAATAGGCCATACTTTACAACCTAGGTGCATAGTAGGCTGTACCACTGAGGGTTGTGTGAGTATACCCTATGATGTTTCTACAACGATAAAATCACCTAACAATACATTTCTCAGAATGTATCCCCATCACTGAGCAATGCAAGGACTGTACTTACAGAAAAGTGCACCGATCATTAGTTAAATATACAGCTCCTGTGATCACACCTGAGTAACCATCATCTGTGTCACCAGAAACAGAACATCAAAGCCCCTTCTGCCCTTTCCAAGTCACTGCCCCCCGAGATAATCAGTATTGTGGCCTCTAACACCATAGATTAATTTTGCCTTTTTGTGAACTTTATGTCAATGGAATCAGATAGTATGTACTATTTTTATGTCTGGCTTCTGTTGCTCAATGAGATTTATCCCAATACTTTTCTCAGTCTCAGAGCTATATTTTATGACTATATCACAATTTATTCATTCCACTGTTGATAGAAATGAATGTGGGTTGTTCCCAGCTTTGACTATTACAAATTGTGCATGCCTTTTGGGACACATATGTACGCCTTTCTGCTGAGAATATATATTTAAGAATGGAATTGTTAGGCCATACGGTATGCCTATGTTTAACTTTAGAGGCTACTGCTGAACAGTTTTCAGGTGATTTTACCAGGGGGCTAATTTTTTTTAACAGCACAGGCTGAAACTTCAGGTGATGTTTCTAGAACTACTTATATTGGTGGTGAAAGGCGACATCTCCACCTATTTCTCAGGCTGCAAATACTGCCAACTCTAAAAGAGGCTCAGAAATGCTGCTCATGGAGCTTTTTATGAGCTCTATTCTTTTTCTTTTTTTTTTTTTGAGACAGAGTCTCTCTCTGTCACCCAGACTGGAGTGCAACGGTGCGATCTCTGCTCACTGCAATCTCTGCCTCCTGGGCTCAAATGATTCTCCTGCCTCAGCCTCCCAAGGATCTGGGATTACAGGCACGCGCCACCATGCCCAGCTAATTTTTTTTTGTATTTTTAGTAGAGATGGGATTTCACCGTGTTGGCCAGGCTGATCTCGAACTCCTGACCTCAGGTGATCTGCCCGCCTCGGCCTCCGAAAGTGCTGGGATAACAGGTGTGAGCCACCACACCCCGCTCTGAGCTCTATTCTTAACCTGCTCACCAACTCCGCTGAGCTCTGGCTTGTTGAGGATGGATCATGGTTGTGAGGGACTGGTCTCCCTGGAGACTGTCTTTGAGGAGTCCTGGGCCAAGAACGGCCAGGAGCTCTCAGCTTGAGTATTACCATGATGCCAGGAAATAATTATTGTTATTTTTCTGGCCCTATGCTTACTCAAGAAATATTTCATAATAGACCCAGGTTAGTTTCTTCAGCTCCACATAGACAATAAATGTACTTGGCCAGATATCCCTGTCAACCATTGCCCCCGCCATATGATCAGGTTGTTTCCAGGCTGTACCTCCCCAGACTGCCTCCTGTGGGCTTATTCCTGAGCTTTGGTGAGGCTGGGGAATGGTACCAGAGTTTCTTCATCCAGAGACTTGGTCTCTAGATTGCTGCTGAATAGCCCTGGCCATTGGTCAGTTGACCCTGTGTCTTCTCATTTGTATAGTGGGAGGATGGTGGGGGACTTGCCTTACTGTGGGACTCTGAAGAACTACTGGACCAGCGAGAAGACCCCCTGGTGATTTCATTGTGGACATTCCCAAGGACTTGGCTCTGGGCTGGTGCTTTGACAGGGTGTGTGGGTGAAAACCATTTAGAACTTTTTTAGCTGCAAGTGATATAAAACTCATCCAAGCGACAGAGGAAGACTCTGTCTCAAACACACACACACACACACACACACACACACACACACACAAAACAACAACAACAACAAAAAACTCATCCTAATTGTTTTAAGCAAAAGAGACCTATTTATTTCTTGGTTGGTTTTGTTTATATACTGGAAATATTCAGGGGCTTCAGGTACAGTTTGATCAGGGGTTCAAATATGTCATTGGACCAGGCCATTTTTCACTTCTGCTTTCTTTAGAGTTGGCCCTGTTCTCAGACTCTGGTGGCATGACAGCTGCTGGCAGCTGCTGATGCTCTCACATTTCCCAGTCCAGGAAAAGAAGAGCATCTTTTTCAGTTCACTCGAATATCTGATATGAGCTCTGACTGGACCTCCTCATGGCTTGGCTTGGGTCCCATGCCCATCCCTAAACCAACCACTGTGCAACTATGCATGGTGCATAATGCAGTACACAGCTCTGATTGGCCAGGCTACCTTCACCTGGGACTCTCACGCCAGGGAATTAATTCCACCTGAAGTACATGAACTGAAAATGACAAGAGTACATCCCCAGGTGAAATTAGGGCGTTATTACCAGAAGAGGGGAAGTGGGTACTAAGCAGGGAAATGACAATAGCTATCAACAGGGAACAGTCATGTATGGACAGGATTCTTCTGGCCTGGGTCTATATAAGACATGAGTGTACTGACACACAGGACACAGAGAGCATTTGACATACCACCCAACTCCAAGAAAATGTTGGGCTGTCCCAGAAGCCTCCAGATACTGCCCACCCCTCTGAGACCTGGCGTTTCATAATCACCAAGTAATCTGGGCACTCTGAATCCACAAAGGTCATCACTCTCTGCCTGAAACAGGGGTCATCTGACCCATGTCTTCTTACTCCCTGAATGTACTCTGTTTTCTTGGAGGGCAAGGACAACATCTTTGTCCTCTCCATATCTGCAGAAATACTTAGGAATGAATAAGAATAATCTTTGGCCAGATGCAGTGGCTCACGCCTGTAATCCCAGCACTTTGGAAGGCCAAGGTGGGCAGATCACCTGAGGTCATGAGTCTGAGACCAGCCTGACCAACATGGAGAAGCCCCATCTCTACTAAAAATACAAAATTAGCCAGGCATGGTGGCACATGCCTGTAATTTCAGCTACTCAG